ATAATGGCTTGATGCAAAGAAGAAGGCATACAATGGGCCGAGTGAATTCAATCACGGCCTAACAACGCGTTGTATGACGCTTTAGTGTCTACCACAAAGAAAGTTGAAACAATAGATTGCGATCCGACCGTGACTTCCAATGGGAAGATCCCGCGAGTGCTGGTGACATCACTGGTGAAACCACTAACAAATATTTCTGTAGGTACTAAGTCTTGCATATGTTTCGCCAGCTTGCGTATTGCTGAGAATGGCAAAACATTAATAGCAGCGCCATTGTACACTAATACTCGTTTCAGAGGTATACCATCCATGTTGGCACAAATAAACTACAGCCGGATATGGGTAGTAGCCGTATCAGCCGGCTGTGTTAACATGACGATTGAAGATTGTCCGGGTCTTTCCACTATTTGAATTCCATTCTGCTTTACTTCCTCTTGAACCACCGGTGTTATCTGGTCATCGATATCAGACGTATCAATCATCTTAGTATCTGTACTTGACACTGGGGACTCAGACAAAGGCACATCGGAATTAGTACAGAATGTCCATGACAATACATAAACTATATTGACTGAAGGATTATGCTTTGCTACTTTTTGCCTGTATTGCCGTTTAGAAGGAGGGTTTCTTGTCTTATGTGGTGAACTTGGCGACATCTTGGATTGTAGGCTCAATTGTATATCTTTGTAGTAACCGGCTCTCAGCCGTTGCCATTGTTGTTTCTAAGTGCGTGTGAGACCGGCAGCCGCAAGAGGAACAACTGGAAATTTTTTATGGTGATTATGATGCCATTGATTATCATGGACCGTTCTAGGCTTAATCATCCTTGGTTTTTGAGCTGGGGCTGGTGACCTAGGCTTAGAAAATCTATCCCATACTGACATCCCTGAATCAGATGATCTTTTTGACAATGGCAGAGTTACTTGTGTAGCAACCGCGGCTTGCTGATTACCCGGGGTTATGGCAGGAACATTTCCATAGACGGGAGCTCCCAGACTTGGTTGTTGAAACATCACAGGCAGAAGTTGAGGAATACTTAGTGGCATGTGTTGGTGAGGAAAGCTTGCTGCTTGTCGAAGATGGCTTTGTAATATCTCTCCTGGTGCTGGCTTATGAACCCATGTCTGTGGTTTGCCATCCACCATAATTGTAACTTCCTTCCTTGGTATTGGTTGATGATAATGACCCCCAAAATGTTGTTCCAATTCGGTCAACTGGTGTTTCAATCCACCGAGAACCGCATCACATTGCAAATAACCTGTACTGTTACATGGAACAGGCATGTGACCATTCACACAAATGTTAACCATGCGAACTGGATGTTCCATTGGAAAGGGATTAATGTTCATCTCGACTGGATCATCGACCTTCACTTTTCCTTCATGAATCATCTTCTGCAAGTAATTCCGAAAACCTATACAATCATTTGTACTATGCGTCCCGGAAATATGATACTTGCAATATGGTTTCCCTACGACTTCCGACGGCTTTGGTGGCTGATATCCTTTTCTGTACCGTACATGACCCGTTTTCGTCATATCATAAAAAATGGTTTCTTGTTGATTAATGTCGAAAGAATAAATCTCGGTAGTTGCCCCATCTTTTGTAGACTTGGTGGTTCCAGAAGAAGAAACCCCTTGTGTGTATGCCTGTGATACGACGGGCCTACGCAACACTTCACATGTGTATTCTTTCAGATTGATTATCTCAGCGGCGTTGACGCTATCCCACGGTCGATCTTCGTCATCAGAAGAACACCAAGCAACATTATTTACCTCTGCAATAGGTTCCTGGTTAAACCATGATTTGGGTTTGGTTGGTTTGGATTCTCTCCTGGCCCGTATCACCTTTCTGTGTTATTGACAACTTCCATAAGATGTGTCAAAGATCGGATCGGATGTGGTGTTACAGCCAACTTCACTTTGAAACCTTGAATACCCGATATCGCCATCTGGACAATGGTAGATTCTTCATATTTACCAGAAGTAGCTCCCGGTATCTTTGCATGCATATGTCGGAACCTAGTACGATATGCCTCAGCCGTTTCGCCGGATTTTTGTTGGATTTGTGATAGATCAACAATCGATTTTCTTGGCGTAGTCCGATGAAAATTATGAATAAATACTAACTTTTGAGCGTTCCAGTCAGCAATAGATCCTGGTTCTCAGGTTCGGTACCAATCCAATGCTATGCCGGCCAATAAATATGGGAATAATCGTAATTTCAATAAAGGATTGTGGTCGAATTCTCCACACTCTAGTTCAAAGCGACCAACATGATCCTCAGGTCTTTGATCATCTTCCAATGTAAACTTCTTGAAATCTGGCATCTTTTAATTTCTCGATAAAGGCTCGAATTCTACATACTCTGGATAAGGTTTGCCCATAACCTCTGGTGCTTCTAATCCAAGTTCTTTACGGACCATATCTTCCACCATAATCTGAAATCCAGCTTCTGTACTAAATGCAGGTGGAACCTCCTCTTCTCGTGCAAAGCCTTCCTGTCGGAAGTCTATTTCAGGTTCTTTGTATAGTTGTGCTTCTGGTCGATTTTCCGTTTGTGGGTTCCTAACATCCCTTCGAGTGTTATTCCTTTCCCTAGTTCGGTTTTGCACTTGGTTTGCTTCATACTCAATCCACTATTGCTCTTCCAACAACTCCTTCACTGTAGGAACATGTCTTGGAAGAATTCTAGGCACAGTTTCCTATTGTCCGACTTGTTCCGAAATTACAACCACTGCTCCTTGTCGTGGTGCTCTTTGCGGGGTTGGTACATTGCTAGCCAAGTTTCCTTGTTGGTTTCCAAATACCACAAACCTTTGATCATTGTTTGGGAGAGGGTTTGCCGTTGGCAGAGTATTGGCTACCACTGGAATTGGCCGAGTAGTCATTGGAGTTGGTATCGCTTGAGTCTGCGCGCTTTCAATGCCCCGTGTCTGACCGATTTGTCCATCCAAAGGGTTTGGTGGAAGTGGAAGTACCGGTTTTGGTGGTGGTATTAATCCTCTTGGAGGAGTGAATCCACCTGGTAGTGGGTAACCCGAAGCTCTTGGTGGCCATCTCATAGCTGGAACGGTCAGGTTGGGCCAAAACATGTAGCCGCTGGTAACTCCCGCAATAAGGTAATGAAGGGCCATCAAAGGTAAAATTTCCAAATGGTGGAGTAAACGCAGGTTGACTCGGTTCAACTCGATAATACCAGCTAGAGTTTGGTACCAGCATATTTTCTGGGACAACTCCTGCCTGGCTTACTCCACTTGTTCACAACATACCGGCATTGACAAATTAGAGAACAAAGGGTTATCATGGGTGAGTGCTGTAGATGGATTCAACAACGGCACTTTCAATGACGGGAGTTATTGGTGGAGTTTCGGGTGCTACCCCTCCATTAGGGTTAACCTTTTGGAGAGACTGTTCTAACGCCGCAATACGGGCCAGCATGCTGGTGATATTATTGTTCTGCTGACCAATGATAATCTGCTCAAGACTTTGGGTGTGTTATACGCTGATTCTTTAGTGCGTCCCCATTGGTCTAACCCTATCTGGGCTTTAAGCCATGATGTTCCATGTTCCAAAGTTTGCTTTGTACCTTGATTGTGATGAAATTGAGGATGATATGAGCTTTTCAACTCATGTTCTAAATTCCGATTCACCGAGAGAGTCTGCACTCCTGACGACGACAATGGGAGAGTTGATGATATTCCTGTTTCTTCGGTTGATTTTGCTACTTCAGTTATTGTCAAACAGGAGGAAGTAACTCCTGTCGGAACAAAAGTTGTAGCTTTTGTTGTTGACATAGCTTCAAACCTAGTCAAGACACCAAATCAGTCCCACTGGGCGTGCCAATTTATGTTCGTGCGAAGATAATCAGTAGAAACTGATGTACACTTGCAAACAATTTCAAACGAAAGTGTGTAATTCGTGAGATATAATATTTGGCTAGGCGTGAAGCAAAAGGGTGTAAAACTTGTAATAACTTGAATAAAGACTGAATTGCTTGTAAATTGATGGACTAAACGAATTATAAAGAGTAAATCGAATAAAAAAGACATGTGCAAGTGGTGAAAAGAACAACAGGGTGCGTAAAAGTAAAAGGAAGATAAGAGCTTTGCAACTTGTGTTATGTTTATGTTGATGATGAGTTGTGTGTTTTGTGTTGCCCTATCTCTCTTTATATAGGTCTCGGTAATTGCTTGAGTCGGTGTAATCTCCGATTCCTAGTCGAATTAGGTGTTGTCGATTCCGAATTGCAATTGTCTTTTATTTCCGATTTCACGTTTCCTGCCACAATTGTAATTCGTCTTGGATTTGGATTTGGTATCCTCCGCGTCGGAGTGGGCTTTCGACGCATCTTCCTTTTCCGATTCTACGGTGGACTCCTCTTCTCCGAGTCGGGTGTGGACTTCTTGAAACATAGTGTATTGGGCCGATTCACCACTTTTGTTGGGCCAACATGATTTTAATTAAAATCGGTGATAACAAGAACATATGATTAATATATTTCCATATGTTTTTGATTAGTGATACACGCAGGGAAATTTTAAAAGAAATTTTAATAGGAAATGATATGATTGAATCTTAAATATCCCCTAATTTTGCAAAATTTTCCTGCAACAATCATTACTCTTTTCATATTAACCACAATAATTAAGTTATAGTTTTTATAATCATTTTAACTTAAGAATTGTGATATTCTTTTATATATGTGTGACTGTGTAGGTTCCTTATCACTTGGTTATAGATAAAATTATAATCATAATTGGCTTTAGTGCAAAATCAACACTTTGCTTACAGTGTAGATAAATTTGCAAAAGCATCAGATGTATTCGAATATGGAGTGTACCTATATATTTTTCTACTCATTTAGCGTTGGACCATTTCCATTCATTTTTACTTGCAAGATTCATTATTTCAAAAGGAACAAAAAAAAAAAAAGACTTCTTAAGATATTCTCATCTGGAATGCAAGAAAGAAACTTTTAACCATGAAAAACCTACCCAGTTAAACTGAATTTAGTCGACATTTCAAACAAAAACTATATACAAGTACTGTGTTTAATTCGGCACGTATGTTGAATGTTTGAAGTTTATACAACAAACTAAATAACAAAATTGAGCTCCGAAAACCAACTACCATGTTAGTTCTACAAATCAGAATAACCAGAAGAAAGACAAACTACTAAAGTAATTATTTAATTTCGACATTACTTCTAAAAATTGCGACAATAGCAACAAGAGAAGAAGGCGTTTCTTTTTCGGCAGAACTTGGAGAAACTCTCTATATACAGAACTCTTGGTTTGATTCTCACTTATCTGCATGTACGTCTTTAACCAATTTATTCTGCAATGCACAATGTCAAGACATAATTTTTCAGTGCTCCGGATCTGTCTTTCATCCCGGAAACTGTCCTTTCTTCCAGAATTATTATACTTTCTTTAGCTCTTTTCCTCTCCTGAACCATTTTGTGGCCTGCGGCATCCACATGTACAATTGTCGAGTTCTTTGTTGAGTTTCTGGAGATGTGTACGAGGATCAATTTAGTCGAACTGTAAGCAGGAAAATGTAAAAAAGAAACCTCTAGTACACGACGGTTACTACTGAATGATCATCTATAACCTCAAACATGCATCATTTTCCAAGCAAGGTCACACTGGTACCTCTTTATCAAAGTAAAGGAGAAAAAAGTACAGCAAAGTCTAAAGGAAATGCACCAACCTGAACCTGGTTTTGAAGGCCCTTGATGTGTTGCACAGCCAAATCCAACATATCAGCATAGCTAGTTTGCTGCAGCAAAACAGTACATGCTAACGTCAGCAAAAAAATATTAAAGTTTCAACGCCTTTTACTTTGAACTACAATTTAGCTCAGAAAGGCTCCTTTCTAGTTTGAGACTGAAGTTTTGAATCAATATCTTGTAGAAACAATCTTATCTTAGATTTTAGATGCACCTTCCGGAATAGTAGGTTTTAGGCACAGGAATCTGAGATGAGACCACCTGAAACTAACTACTTGGACTTGGTTATTGAAGTGTTGACCTCATTTCTTGCTTCTATTTCTCGTATATTCTCACTATCATCAGGAAACTTGGCGTTTCGAATAGTATGCTATGCAAAACATCATAAGGGAACGGCTTGTTGGATTTCTAATGTTTCCTTCTCATTTAGAGGTAAAAAAGAGTAGCTGTTGATAAAGATGATTAGGGAGTTTACCTTGTCCATATTGGGAACAAGATCCTGCAACTTCTTCAACTTCCCGCTTATTCTTGTTCTTCTTTCCTGCAGAGAGATTCATGAACCAAACTAAGCAAATAATTGAACTCATGAGTCTGTTTGTTTATCACGAGTGACTAAAATTTGTGACTACAATCTAAATCATAATTTTCAAGAAACCTTCACTTGTACACGGATGACTAGGAAATGAAATGAAAAGAACTTACAAAACTAAAATCAGAATAGTTTGCCTGCTGAACATTCTCAACAACCCTGGTGCTCAAAGAAGCCACCAATTTCTTTATTTTACCAAAAACTGTGTTCACAGCAGTTGGTCCCAAAAGGAAAAACAAACAACAAAAAACAAAATGAAAGGAGAAAGAACTAACCCTTTCAGCAATACTGCGGGGATGAGTAGCGCACCCACGCTTAGCACGGATCTTACAAGGCACGGAATCTTCAGGAATGTTAAGCAACTTGTCCATTGAAGCCATTTCCAGCATTGTTTCAGGCATGCCAAACTGAAACTGTAGAGAAAGAAAAACTATTTTGATTCAGAAAAGATGATCAGGAAACCATTTACTTCAACACACTTTTCTGTAATCAGTGCATTCCTGACAACTCAATTCATATTGTTTTGTCTATTTTTCTTGCACATTATGGATTGTCATGAGAGAAGAATATTGTTTCTGTACCTGAGATTCCGTTCGGTTCAAACCAGCTATCATCTCATTGCTCATACTTTTAGATCTTTTGGCTGGTCCCATGGAAAACATGATAGTATTGGAGTCTTCCCAAGATGATCCTCCATAACTTTCTGCGCCGCCATAAGAATGGGTTGATTTTCTTTTTCCATTCTCTGCATGATTGTGGACAGAAGCAACATTCTCATTTTCTTCAGAGATTTGGGAAAGAGCCTCTTGTCTTGTAAAGCTCAGCTGAGAGTTCAATCTTGATACACCTCGGGCTCTTGCAGATGAAAACCCTAATGTATAAAGTAGAAACAAGAGCGCAGAATTTTCATTTCATTTCATCTTCAAAACTATTTGATCAAATCAAAAAGCTTATGTAAAGGCCTCTTGGTTCTTTCTTAGCTCACCACAACTACATGAATCTTGTATAAACAAATTTACAGTTTTTCTTTTTTCTTTTAGAAAATAAAAAATCAACAGTAACTTTTCAAAAATCAACAGTAACTTCCATCAATCGCGTTTTTACTTTAAAATTTTGTTTTCTTTCACTACGTGAAAGGAAGGTGAATGCTCTTATTTTATTCGTTATTGTTGTTGTTGTACTAGAAAGTATCCCATTTGGTCCTAATTATTAGACATCAATTAATACTAAAATTTTTGTTCAAATTTGTACATAATAATTAGGAACAGAATGAGTACATTTCAAAAGAAAATTATCATGTGACAAAAGGTGTAATATGACACATTTGATTAAAGAAAAAAAAAGAATGCACGCATATGTAATAAATGCAAATGCAGAAATGTGTCACAATAGTGCAACTTGCAAGTTGCAACCATCGATATGGACTAAGGAATATCACACGTAAGATAGAAATACCATCACTTGTGTATGATTTTCTAAGGAATACAATTCTATGTTATTGAACAATTTTACCGAATGTTTTTTTCTAAATCGTTTTGTCAATGAGGTTTTTTTTTTCCTTTATCTTTTTTATTTATTCGTCCATTCCAAAATAATTGTATTCATACACTTTTTATGTTTTCAATTCAATTTCAAGTCTCAAACAAGAAAAATACATATATTTCCAACGTTCTATACACAATCTCGTGAGTGAGTGATTTTATCAATATACCGGTACTTTAACATGTCATTAGATGGATATTCCTTAGAGATCCAATCCAATTTGTTCTTAATTTAATCCTATGTCATGGTTGGAACAACCAAGATCTAATATCTCAGCCACAAAAGAAGAAATCACATTGAATATTTGTGGGAGAGAAGAACGAGAAGACATTTCCTCAGAATTCAGATGAACATGTGACTTTAGATAAGTTCGGTCTCCGGTGATTCACGGAATCTAGTCACTTCACTTCAAGTTTAATTATCTCATCAATGAACCTAGAAGAGAAAGAGAAAGAAAAAAAAAAGGGAAAAAAAATTCAAGGAATCTCCAGCTTTTTTAATAAGACTATATAAAATTTGTGTGATTATTATATTGTCAACTTGTCGCTGCTTTTCTTATAAGTGAGGACAAATATTATTGAACATTATAGCCCACTTGCAAAGTTGAGAAAAATGCATCTAGTCATTTTTTTTTGTTGGGTATACTTTTGACTGTTTCCAAATTTGGAAAATTGCATATATTCTTTCATTAGCTACACTTTCCCAAAACAAATTTGTTTGCTCTAAAGTAAAAAATTCTAGACAACGAATTTGCACAAATTCTTCTCAATCAGTTTACACCTGTAATTTTGAAGATCCCTTGAAAAACAGCATCAATGCATTACTTTATGTAAGAATAATTTTGAGAAAAGTTTCGTTATACTCCCCGTCCTCGCCTTTCTCAAGAAAGAAAGAAATTATTTGTTGAACTGTTGTGATTTTTACAAGAGAGTGAATATTGATTAACAGCTTGTATGAGAGAAAACCAATAAGAGACGAAAAAAATTCTTTCTTAGTGAACTTAGGGTTACCAAATCTCGAATATCTTACATTGTCTATACTTTTAGTTTTACCTACTATTTTTTTTTACCTACTATATTATCTGTCTAATGAACATATTATTTTGAAACCAGGTTGATTTAAAGAAAAAAAAAGTAAATATCAAATGAGTAACACAAAATAGATGGGGAAAGAGATTAGGTTAAGTTTCAAATTTGTGTTACATAGCTTAATTATACGTCTCCTTTTCATAGAAAATTGTGTACAAGGATTATTTTGAGCAAAAATAAAGTACATGTGTAAATAATTAACCTAAATTATCCAAATTTTGACATATACTACTCTATTTCATTTTTGACAAAAGACAATGTCTTTTTTTATCTCATGGAAAATATCAAAAGTTATGTTGAAAATACATTACCATAGTTGGGATGTAAAAAAAACAAATAATTTAAAATTATATATAGGGAAAATGTAAAATGAGCTGGAATTGAATTGATGTGTCTGTCTAGACATCCCATAATTTATAGTGAGAATAACTACAACGAACCTGGTTCTAAAGCTAGATGTGACATGTCAACTAGGTATACCACCATGTCCAATCATAAGAAAAATCAAATGTCAAGTTAATCTTATGCTTCAAATTAAAATTAGATACCCAAAATAATTAAAATTGGAGATTATAAATAAACTCTTCTCCTAAAAATGTATGTGTATTAATTAAAATAATACAATAATAATTTTTTTTTTGTGAGATTGAAGATTTTAAATTTCTTCCTTCCAAAAATTAATGGCCTTTTTTCGTTTTTTAATAGGAAAGAGTTCATCAGTCAACCTTCCAATTTTTCAAAAGATAATCTTTTTCAATTTTTTTTCTTTTTTCTTTTTGTTTTGATTAATACAAGTTTCTGAATTACTAAAGATGGAAATTATTTTTGGTCATTTTGACAAAACTGTTGAAATAATAAAAATCTTTTTAAATGAAAATACGGGAAATAAAAATTTCAAATTTTATATATAGCCACGTCACACAACTAAAAACAAAATTACAAAATGTAACACGCCACACAGGAAGGTCAATGGCTTAAGAGAACAAGGTTTGTTAGGCTGCTATTGAAGAAGAAAGTACAACGGTTGATTAATTTTCTTTACTTAACTTTTTCCACAAAAACATTTAATTTATTTAATGTTTATATTTAACGTGGTTTTACTTCGCCAAAACCATGGGCTGACTTTAAAACTTTGGTCTTAATTTGCTATTGACTGTTCCCACGTGGACATCCAACACAACTTGCCACCAATGGGACCTGTTAAGCACATCATGAAATTCCCATTATAGCCCTAATGCAGTTATACTTGAGGCTTTAAGTTACCAATTAGTTTAAATTTATATTTAAATCGTAACTAATTTTACATCAGTAGTCCTACATACATATTGCTCTATAAGGACAATGACTTTGAACAATACGCAGATTTATGACAAATATGTCGAAGTAGTCGTAATAAGAAGCTACTTTGGTATTCAGACAACCTTTTTTTCCTCTTAAAAAAAAGAAAAATAATAGAAATGGGAACATATAGAAAAATAGTTGAGTTCGTATTTGAAACTTTTTTTATATTTTTTCTTGATAATTCTACAATCCTGAAATTTTTTCTTCTTCTTTTTTTTTTTTTTGCATAAAAGCTATATTACATATTTTAGTAAGTACCAAAATTCAATGATAAAATGTTTTTTTCCTAACATTAGAAACAATTCCTAGTTAAACAGAGGCCAGCTAGGCGCATCGAAAGTCAACCAAATTATTTTTGAGAGTTGATGTACGAGCCTCCGTAACTCACACCAATAAAATGCTCTAAAATTGTCAAACCTTTTAGTATCCGTATTTTTAATATTATTGCTTTTGTATTGAATGCATAATCGAACCAAGATTAAGGGGTAGAAAGTATAGTCAAATGCAATCACGCATATAGTAGTAGTAATTAACGAAGGATAGTTGGCTAAGAAGAAAAAAGAAAAGCCAAAAAAAAAAAAAAACAGTACTTCCTACTTCTCCTATTATAATTACATGAAGAGAAATCTAAACCATTAATTTCAAAGTATCAAATTCATCTAATTCTACAAAACAAATATGAAATATCATATTAAAAAGAAATAAAATACCTTCACTACATAGCTTTCCAATTTTGGAAAATAATTAACCAGAAACAAAATTAAGTACTTGAAAGGGTGAAAAAGTCATTTTGTAACAAATATCCAAATCGGAAGCTCCTATGGAGAAGAAAAGAAGAAAAAACAAAGACCAAAAGCGCAAAAAAAAAGAAAGAAAAGAAAAGAATGAGAAAGTTCAACGTACCATTGTCGTCATTAGATGTACAAGCAGCGTGAGCAAGCTGATTAAGAAACCCCGCCGGCGAGCTACTATGGCGGAACAACGTCGGCTGCGGCGGCGGAGCGTTATTAATACCATTATTAGAACTGCACCCCACCATTCCAGCCGCCGCACCTCCACCGAAGAAGTTCTCCTCGTGCTTCATCACATAAGCCCTTTGAAGCCCGCCGCCGTCGCCATTACCGTTGGAGTTTTTGCCGGAAGATTCTCCGGCGAGAGGAGACGAAGTTGCCTCCGATGAAGGGAAGAATAACCGGGAAGATGGTGTAGTATGATGATGAGTTGGAGAAGGGCCCATTTGGAGATGGGCCTGCCGGTGTGATCCGAGAGATGAGTAATCCCGGGTCACCGGATTCATAATGGAGTCCACGGTGGTGGCAAGTAGGGAGCTCGGAGCTGAGCCGTACCGGATCAGCCCACTTGTATTACTGCTGTTTGTTCCTCCATTCGGGCCCAATGAACCTTGTGATGATGAAGAAGTTGATGAAGGATACATGGGGTTTGGGGGTATAGGGGAAGAGGAATGGGGGTTTGGGATGAAATATATGCGGAAAGAAATCGTTAATGTTGTTGATATGAGAGGGAACAGGAAAGAGAGGAAGAAGAAAATGGTGTTTTTTTTTTCCCTTTTCTTTTGTTTTTTTTTTATATAATTTTTTTATTAAAGAAATCGTGGGGTACAAGTTGCAACTTGCAAGTTGTTGAAGAAAAGTTTGTAAGAAAGAGTTTTTTTTGTGGTGACCAATGGGGAAGGAGGATTTGTTTGTGTACGAGTTTAAGGTTAAAAGAACCAATAGTGTTGTTTGTCTTTGTTCGAAACTGAGTTATTTTTAAGTCTTTAGCGTTCATACTTTGTGTTAACTAATTTTCAATTAAGGATATAAAAAAGGTTAAATCGTTTTTAGCTAGTTTGGTACATTTAGAAATGATCTTCTGAGTTATGGTTCGTTCTATTTCTACTCTTTATGATCCAAAATAATATGACTGGAAAACTAATTTTATTAGTTCGCTAGCTATTTGTCTGGAGTCTATGACTGTCAGGCTACTCTCTAATATGTTGATTCAGAAATAGTAAAATTTCAATGCAGTGGAATAGAAAGTTGTTTTGAATGGATCAGTCTAAAAATATCTCTTCTTTTTTCTTTTTTTTGCTGGGAAAAATATAGTGGATTGATCAATTTGGAGCTTTAGTAGTAAAGATACATACACAATTTATAGTTGAAATGAAATGGTTCAGTGATTGATATAACATGTATATAAGGTAATAAGAAGACACTAACCCTATTGCAAGTCTCAATGACTCGTTTTGTATATTTTACGTACTTTGGACACATGCAAATTGAAATTAATTGTGATCATTATTTTTTTTCCTAAATATTTATAGCCATCGATAATAATGATTAATCACCTTATTAAATTATAGGTAAATTTGATGGGCGAACAGTTAGTCAAAAGATTTAAAGTTATTATACGCCCATGACGAGATTTGAATATATATATATATATTTGTTACAATGAGAGAGGCCAAAGTCTAGATACTTGAAATAACAATATTTCGTGGGTAGGAAATACCGACAAAGTCGTGTTGCAACCACGGTTTTACTTCCTCCGGTGGTACAGGTTAACGTTGAAGACCTCCCGGACTCCGGGCAGCCATGCTTGCCATACAATCTGCAGTAAAGTTAGCTTTTCGATACACATGAATTAATCTCACAACCCAGGCTCTATCCAGAAGATTATGAATGCTACGGACTAGACCACCATGAATCCCGACCTCATCATCCTCGCCTTGTACCATTGTCACAACACAGCAACTGTCAACCTCTACCATCACCTTTTGACTACCCAAATCCCATGCCAAGCTCAAGCCTTGATATAAACCCCACAGCTCCGCACCCATAATCGTGCAAAAGCCTATGTTCATAATAAAACCCTCGACCCATCGACCCCAATGACCTCTCACTACTCCCCCGACACTTGCCATCCCTGAAGTAGGATCAAAGGTGCCATCGGAATTGACTTTCAACCACCCCTCAGGCGGACAAACCCATCGAACCATTATCCATTCTCGGCCAACCCCAACACCACCTAACCGCCGCTCTCCAACCAAGGCAGTATGCACCGAAGACACCCACGTGACGAAACATGGAACTTCATCGACTCGATACCGCCTTGGCCGCCAGAGTAACCAACCGGAGATGTCGGTGAAGTTCCATGCTTCGTCACGTGGCACGCCCAGTGGGACCGAATTTGGTTTGCCCCTTTGATATGCTTATATTTTACCTATTTATTATATCCCTAATTTGTGATTTTGCAATATATTTTGAGTACAAATATGCTATTTATATGCTTTTATCTTTATTTGTAGGTTTTGTACTCAAATAAAGAAATTGTTGAAATTTTGAGCTAAAATAAATAAAAAGCAACTCAAAGGGAGAAATGAAGATTTGATAAATTGACAAGGAAGAAATTGAAGCACTTGAAGAGTTAGAGGAGTTTTAATTTAAATTGGCTTAAAAAAATAATAACTTTTTTATTCCTGAAGAAATAGGATTTGATGAAAGTCTATAAAAAGAGGATTGGGATTTTATTTTTTTTAACCAACTCCAAAACCCACCTTCCATCAGCCCCCCACACCAACCCGCAGCTCCATCTCTCTCCCATCACCTCACGTCACCATCATCCCCCAACTCCCAGCCCCAAAATTCCCACGCATCACACCAAATCAGCTCCCCTCTACGCACACCATCACCACACCTCTTTTCAGCTCTTATATCATTCCCACGCATCAAACGTCCCCTGCACAAACTCCTCTCCACCTTAATTACTACCAAAACACCACCCTTCCATGCCTCCACGCCCCATCACCTTCTACACACACCATAATCACGTACGCACCATCATCATCGGAGGAGGAAGTATTGGATCAATTTCCGGATTCAATTTTGGCCTACTTCATCTGGGTTTCATTATTTTATTTATTTTTGAGGTGATGTGTAACTAAATTATTTAATCTAGGGTTTTGGATGTAGCTGACGTACTATTTAATTTAATTTAATTTATGATTGTGACTTTTTCATTAGTTGATATTTAATATTCTTGCTTTTATTCCATGTTAGTATTTGATCACCACTTGCATGCTTAAAAGGTGTTTAACTGAAGGAACGATGGTTGAAGGTTAACATTAGTTCATGGGAATATTAAACTTAGGTAGTGGGCCATGACAGTAGGAACACCACCTTTGCAGCTAGAGATTCTAAAGTTCTTAATGTGCTTTTATTAATCCCTATAGTCACGACAGTAGTCATAGGGTTAGTTTAAGTAAGAGAATTATATCACGAGAGTGAATATTTCTTAAATAAGTGAATCGTTGTGAGATTAATGAAAGTCTAAAGTCACATATCTATAAGTTGAGTTAAACTGAGTAGTCGGTAGGTGAACCCTTTGCCCTAGGTTTTTTTTATTTGTGTAAAATCTTAAATTAATTGTAATTGATAGTTTTAGGTTTAGATTAGTTTAAATTGATAAATTGTTAATCTAAATAATAAGAAGAAATAATTTTAACCGGTACTTGGTAACCTTCTCTGTGGGATCGACCTTGCTTGCTACTTTACTACTCGTAATTGTATTAAGTAAGTATTTAATATTTGACTAGTGTGTCGACGGCTTGTCACCCTTTACCAATTTTTCTTAACAAGGCAAATGTCTCCTCATGAATATGGAGGATCGAACATGAGGCAGACCCAGGATTACATGCATGAAGCTTTGCCAAGCCAAGGCACCAGGTTCTATCTTTCAATTAATATACGTGGTGATGTTATTGATTGCTTAGGTTAAAGTCTGTCCATGGCTCTTTCTTCCCCAAACTTTGATTCCACGTAGTAAATTTATTGTCATCACTCATCAATCAAAGTCACCCCCTTTATGATGCCAACGCAATAACACCTCTATGTTCATGGAAGTTTTTTTATTAAACTAGGCGAGACCTAGATTAAGATTTTCAAAATCTTGATTCAATAAAGGCTATACTTGTTTCTCTTCGGCCGATTCATGACGCCTATATTTGGTGTTTAAAATTTTACATCAGCCCCTGCATATTTACAACTCTATGCCTTCATTAATTTTTCGAGTTTCAAAACCTACCCCTAAGCTGGTAAAACGTACATGGCAATCATGGTGGTTCGAATAAACTATTCCCAAAACCTTGCTTGAATATGTTGGACAAGTAAGCAAGTATATAGGTACTGCACACAATTTGATCACATCATAAATCATTAAGTTCTATGGATGAATAAATTTCAATATATTTTCTCATCCTCCATGAAAATTATGATAACTTGGCAAGTTTTGATTTTCATTGTTTTACGGGCATGAAATCATTAGCCGCATACCAAGACACCAATATGGTTCATATTTGAGACTATTGTCTTACAAAAGATTTCGAGACAAGTTGCTTAATAATCATAATACTATGCTTATGTGTACACTAGATCGGTGTGTCTCAATATTTGCTCTAAATCTCACTTGCCCTTTTTGTCTTCTATACCCATCATTAATGTTGTTACTCTCGGCCGAGTACAAATTTCATGGGGATCAAAGTGTTGAAACTAACCTACCATGTTTCTCGATATTGGCTTTGCTATTACTAATCCATTACTCGAGTTTTCTCGATGGAAGACAACCACAACCTTCAATCCCTGAGGTTCAAAATCGTGCATTAAATATTGACATCAAGAAGCCAAAATCAGCGGTCGTCGACTTTGTGCATCAACATCAACCAATTGGCCGAGAAAGAAAATTTTTGACTCAACGTGGATAAACAAGAAACGGGTCGAGAAGCTCCCCGAAACTAATGATTAGCCCTCTCAATTTCAAAGGAAGCGGCAATATGAGAATGATGTCAAAAGACACATATCCTCAACGGCGCAAGCATCCTAGGCGCATAACTTCCTCAGAACTTGGATGCAACATCCTGGGCGCATAGGCTTTAGTGATAGATAAGTTATCGTAGTCTTCTATTACAAATTAGTTCTTTTTATACATTATTGCCTTCCAAACATGTCTTAGGCATTATGTGCATACTAGGCCTTCTTAAAACATGTTATTGTCATAGTATTATAGTAATGGCATTTCGATCATATGTCTCAAGTATCATTACGCATAAATACACATACTATGCCTCTCTAAGCCTATTGTTCCTACAGAATCATAATAGTAGCATATCGATCGTATGTTACCTAATAAGGTTTTCTTACACACTTATGTGAATCAATACATTTTTGCCATCACAGGAAACATGAAGGTTTTTGAAAAGTATTTCAATAACATTACAAATTGAATTGTGTGCACAACTACTTGATTTTGGGGTAGTACTTGCCCTATTCTTGTATGAGAACATGACATTCGCATGCTTACTTCATTTTAAGTCGTGCACAATTCTTATATGCTCACCAAGGGTCTAGCTACCCTATTATTAGAGCAACTAATGTTTTGTCCAAAGTGAACAGCTATGCAAGCATAGCTCGATTTTTCGAAGGACCGAGGACATATACAGCCGTGAACACGCGAATCGTCCCTGTGACAAGAGTGGAGACAATCTCCTTGACTGATTTAAAAAAGAGATAAGTGGCCCTAAACTTACTCGTACCATGTCACCTTATTTCTAACCAGACTTCTATAACGAATGCAATTCTGGTTATGCTCTTTAAATTACACTGTGCTTCCTTTGAGGTGATCTAACGGAATATGTACAATTACAATAATCTGCCCAAGTATGCGTAGTTGTACTACT